GGACACTGAGGGGAGAGAGAGACCAAAGAAATTGCCCAAGGTCAAAGAGCTAGTAAGTGGTGGGGCTGGGAGACAGCCCTACAGATGAAATCATGATGTGGTTGTGGATACAAGTTGGGGAAATTAACACAAACGTACACACATGAAAGCAGAGTGTAAGCCTTTATAAAGTATTTACTTTAACCTGACCATCTACACATATAATTACCATGAGTTTCCTTTATCCATCATATGAGTTATTCTTATTTAGACAAGGGAGTTTTAAACATTTTTATTTTTCTTTCCTGGAGCTTGAGGAAGATGGCGTTAAGACTTTTTCATCACTTCTTTTTTCTCCTGGACTCAGATTTCCTCGCTCTGCAGCAGATACTCCAGTCAGCACAGTATCTAATTGCATATTCATCTGCATTGCACTTCATTCTGCAGTTATAGTATCCTGAAGGACAGCTTCCGTGAAAAAAGCTCCTGGCTTTGAAAAGAGAAAGCGTTATATTATATTACTTACTTTTATATTTTAATGTCTGAAGTATTTCATAATAAATTAAAACAACAGCAATACATAACTTTCCCAGAAAAATAAAAAAGAAAAGAATGCGGGAGAGAAAAGTGGAGCTACTGGTCTCTCTGTGTCTACTTACTGGACTCAGCATAATGTCCTTCAGGTTTGTCCACACGGCTGCAAATGGCATAGTTACCTTCTTTTCAAGGCTGAATAATATTTGGTTATGTTTATACATATATATATGTGTATATATATGTGTATATATGTGTGTGTGTGTGTATATATGTATGTGTGTATGTGTATATATATTTATACCACAATTTCTTTACCCAGTTATCCACTGACAGACACTTAGGTTGCTTCCACGTCTTGGCCGGTGTGAATAATGCTGCAATGAACATGGGAGCACAGATATCTCTTCAACATCGTTTCTCTTGGACATACACTCAGAGGTGGAGCTGCTGGGTCTTACGGTAGTTCTAGTTTTCATTTTTTGTGGAACATTCATACCCTTTTCCATAATTGTTGTTCCAATTTACATTCCCACCAAAAGTGTTCAAGGGTTCCCTTTACTCCACATATGTGCCAACATCTGTTATTGTTACTACTTTTTGGTAACAGTCATTGTAACAGATGTGAGGTGATCTCTCATTGTGGGTTTGACTTGCATTTCCCTGATGATAAGTGCTACTGAGCACCTTTTTGTGTTCCTTTTGGCTATCTGTATGTCTTCTTTGGAAGAATATCTATTGAGGTCCTTTGCCCATTTTTAAGTTATTATTATTTTTGGTTATTGAGTTGTGTGAGTTCCTTGGATATTTTGTAAGGAACCTGCAAACCCTGATTGGGTATAGGGTTTGCAAATGTTTCCTCCTCCTCTGCGAGCCGTCTTCTCACTCTGCTGACC